ATGTTTTCCTCGACCAGAATTTTCCAGCAAATGAAGAGAGATACACATTACACGGAGAAAATTAGGTCACTGGCCCCAGCTTTTCTTTCCCTTCCCTTCTGAAATTTTCTCCCCAATAATCATTTGTAACAAAAGAAAAGTGTTTGCATTTCTGCCCGAGATGTTGATTTCTGGAAGCCTTCTTTTAAATCCTTGAGAACTCTGACCTGAAATCTTTCCAGCTGACAAATGCAGACTAAGAGACAGAAGGAATTGAGGATTGGCCCAGGGCCACTTGGGCTGGTGGTGACTTGAATCTCATATTTTGAACACATTCCCTACTGCTGGGGCCACTCAGTCTTAGCATTTCCTTGGGGATAAAGTAAGGATAGGATTTTAAGAAATAATAGGAAGACAATAACTAGCACACCATCTGAGTAGGGTGAGTGTTCCTTAGGAAAGACACCCTCCATATGAAAATATAAGATTGATGAAGAACTGTTTATCTTAAAGGAGTAACACATTTTCATTCCTCTAATAGGTATTTATTAAGTGCTATGTGCAGTGACCTTGCTGGGTACTATATACAGAAGACACAAGAAATTGATAAGATATAGTCCCAGCTTAAAACAAACTAGTCAGGAATATAAGTCATTTATGAAAGCCCTTAGAAAACAGCCTGACACATAGTAATTAACATGGAAATGTTTGATCAAGCAATCCATCTATCAATATATATAATAATGCTAGTTAAAACATATTTAGCCCTTACTATGCCAAATGCTTTGCATTAATTTCTTTTATTGTTTACAAGTTTATGAAGATATTATTATGACCTTCAGTTTGCAAATAAGACGTAGAGGGAGTAAGCAAACAAATAAGGTTTTGTTCAAGGTTGTAGAATTAATAAAATCAGGACTTAAACTAACTGAATGGCTCCAGAGCTTCTTAACCATAATACTGTATTCCAACCCCTTCTCCAGGTGATGCTCTCTATGTGAATGGATGTGACTTTGGATATTTAGTGTCTATTTCAGAAGAAAAAAAGACACCCCCCCAAACTGCATCATCAGTTATTTATATCACTACACAGTTCTTCTGATTTTTATCAGTGTACAAAAAAGTGTTTTACACTATTGCAATTGGTCTATATCTGTGTTTGGCTCTCCTCACTCAATATTATTTTGTATAAATAATTCCATATACTTAAATTCTACTAGCTATATATCATATGCATGTCAGTACCCATTAAATATAGAAGTCTGGTCCAGTTCACAATTGTTAGATATTTAGGTTACTACTTCATTTTCACTATAGTGAATAATAGTATTGCCATAACAAGCTACTATATAAAAACATATTCCTTTGGTTAATAATCCCATTATTGAGATTACCGAGTCAAATTATTGCATCAAACATGATGAACAATTTTATGATCCCTGGTCCATACCGGATGGCTCTCCAGAAGGACCGGCCAGTTTACAAAGCTAAGAGAAATGTGTTGGTGCACCTCTTAGTCCTTAACTCTACCAGCACTTAAAAAAAATCAGTTGGTTAGTATTGCGAATTGAACAGATATAGTAAAAACTCATGGTTGTTTCAGTTTAAATTTATTATCAGGAAAACTAAAAATTTTCCATAATTTTCTACCTGTATTTTTTATGTATAAAAATATTTGTTTTATTTGTTGTTTTTCTTATGTAGTAAGAAAATACATTTTGAAAAACTCGAGGAAAAGTGTTTAAAGATTAATGCTTTAAATATCTCTGAGAAACTCTCATGTTCAATATCAGCTGACTAAATTTTGAGTGACCTGCACTCTACACAGATACTATCATAAGACCCCCAAGAAATTATAAAGTACAAATAATTGTAATTGTCTAAGAAGTTGGAGATGGTACCAAGTAATACCACTTGCTATCTGACACTACCATATAGAAATTTAATTTGACACCTCATTCTATAAATGGAAATACCATTTTTCCAATTACTTAATGCTCCTTAGCTATTTTTTCTTCAAGAGCTTCAGACTCTTTTGAGAATCCAATAGAAACCTATGGGTCATCTCCATAGAAAATGCCCATTTGCCTACATTCTTCATAAGGTTTCAGATTGTCATAGGCCCTCAGTTAATGACCCACTAAGGTCATTAAGGACTCATTCTCACGGATCCCCTTGTTTTACACAATCTTGGCTTATCTCTATTATTTTTTTTTCCTCCAAAATGTTTCTCATAACTGCATTCTTCTCTATATCCTCATTGTCAGTCTTTTGTTCTATTTCAGGTTGACGATAGAAACAGCAGTGGAGAAAAACATAAGTGGACAGCTGCCAATGCTGTCATGACAGTGATGAGTTCTGGGATAGAAGATCAGAGCTCTATGGAGGTGTACTGCAGGAGAACCATCCTTCTAGTTTGAGTCATCACTGCTCACTCAGACAAGTAAAATAGCTTCCTAACCGGTCTCTCAATGTCTCTCTTGCCTTCTGCTCTAGTTCATTTTTTTTTTTTTTTTGCTCGGCAAAACAAGATGTCTTTTAAAGCCCAATCAGGTTATTATTCTTTGGTGAAACTCTCTAATCACACTAGGAATAAAATTCAAACCCTATCCAGAGCTTCCAAGGCCCTACTGACCTGGCCTAGCCCTCTCTTTTACTGCTCTCTGCTTAGCTTAATCCCTTCTAGCCCCACTTTCCTTCTGCTTCAGGACTTTCCTACTTATTTTTACCCCTACCTGGATAACATGTACCTTGAAGCTTCCCATGACTTTCTTTCTCTTCATTTAGGTCTCAGAGGGTTGAGAGGGACATTCCCTGACCACATCATCTAAACTCTTCTCTCCATTCTGATCACTCTTTTGCCCCTCACCCTGTTTTATTACTTTTCATTACACTTGTCTCTATTAGGCACTTTATTAATATGTTTGTTTCTTGATTTTTCCTCTCTTGTAATGCTGTGAGGACAGAGACTTTGTGTATCTCTAGGACTTAGAACAGTACCAGTACACATAATAAATTTTAAAAATATTTGTTCAATAAATGTTGGGATTAATACTTTGCTTATGTACTATATAGATCATCATTTATTTCTGCTCACAGAATAGAGTAAAAAAAACTTTTAAAAAAGAATCTTACTCCTAAAATAAAAAGATAAATGGTGTAACAATAGCTAACAGTCTGATATTCATATCTAAAACTTATCTATTGTTGTGAAAAATTAGCATGAGAAGACCAGTATTATAATTTTCATTAAAAAGCTGTCATACATTGCATTTGAAAAAATATCAGTGCAAATAGATACTAGAGGATCAAAACATAGAAAGATTATTAAATTAAAAGTAAAAATATTTGTCATATACATTGACACACACAGCTATGTGTAATTTTCCTAAGGATAGATTAAGGTCCTAGCAATAAGAGTCTGATACCACCAAATTGCTCATCTAGATACCATACCAATTACACTTTTAGCAATAAAATGTGAAAATTCTTGTTTCCTTATACTCTTTACAACTTTGGACATTAGTTAAAAATTGTAGTCCCTCTCGTGAATTAAAACAAAATGGTGTTACATATTGTTTTGCTTTTCTTTTTTCTTTTAATTACAAGATATACCAAATAATGCTCAATCTTACTCAAGATGAAAGAATACTTGCTTCAGTGGTGTGGTTCAAGAAGGTTGTGGGCATTTATACCAAAGGGCATGGAAATGACACACACCTAAAATAGATTTTAAATAACTGAGTGATGCTCATTTCATGTGTAATATACCACCATTGCATACAGTTCAATCACTAAATTTTTCACCTATGTAAAAAAGTTTATTGTTCTTCATTAAGCATCTATCTTCCCATTGTATCACAATGGTCTTTTAATGGCCCCAAACAATGGGTACTTGTAGTGCTCCTGTTACTTATCTTCTCTTTGGTTTTTGGTATTATACAATTACCCCTCCTTGAAATGTTCTCTTCTTTTTGCTTCTAGGACATGTGTTTTGGGTTCTCTCCAACTTCAATATTATTCCAAGTTTGAGGACAGGATATTTTCCTTCATTCATCCCCTAATCTTAATGATCTCTTAAAAGTTGGTCTTTAGCATCTTCCCACAATACACACAATTTCTGTTTTATCTTTTATTCCCCAAATCATATTACCAACATGATGATAAGTCACAAATTTTTATCTCAGCTCATTCCAGCATCATCTCCCGGGATATTTACCTATATAGTCCAATAGGAATCTCATTCCGAACATTCCACAGGAAACTGAAACAGATCTCCACATAATTAACTTTTCTCTTTTTCTCCTGCACCACCAGCAAAGTTCCTCATTTCCTTCTCCACTACAATCAGTTCAATCACTGAGGCCCCAGGCCTGGGAGATGTCACTTTCCACAGCAAGCTAGTCATTCTTGCTTTAGTTCTGTCTCTTATACGTTCTCAAATACGTTCCACTTTATCTTTCACACCGTCACAACCACCCTAAAAACAGTCCAATACATGTTTTTTGAATGATACATGAGTGAAGGAATTGGACAGGAAGATAGTAAAGAGAAAGAAATGATGCCACATAGCTCTCTAAGTTAACAATCACTGGAATATGTTTTACATTTCTTCTGTTTCTCAGTGTGCTTTTAGAACTTGAGTTCTCTTCACTCGATGTCATGAAATGCCATTATGAAATGGACATCAATTGACTTTTTCTTGTGCGTGCTTGCCTTTCTTTCCCCTCCTCCCTCCATGTGAGCCTCTTTCCTCTTTTCTTCTCTTTTTCCCTTAAGTCTTGCCTTTCTCTCAAGGTCCCTCTTTCGCTTCTGCTTCCCCCTCCCCGGCCTGGCGCCCTCCCTCCCAGCACGCTGGTCAGCTCCTCTCGCTGGTGCGCAGGCTCAGTCCCGCCCACGCTGACCCGTGTCACGAGGCTGCAGGCTGTGAGCTGCGAAGGGGGCGCGGCGAGGCCCGGGCTCCGCATCGCGCATGGGCGGAGCCGGGCGAGCGGGCCGCCCCTGCTATATCTGCGCCTGCGCGGCCGCGCTGCGGAGCCAGTCGGGACGGAGGAGACAAGATGGCGCTGCGCGCGATGCGGGGGATCGTGAACGGGGCCGCACCCGAGCTACCCATGCCCACCAGTAGGCCGGGGGTGGGATCTCGAGAGCAGGCGCTGGCAGCGAGCCGGAACTACCTCTCCCAGCCTCGCCTCAGTGAGTATCGGAGAGCGGGACGGATTCTGTCTTTGCTCCTTAGCCCAGCCCCTTGCTCCCACTCACCTGCTTAGCCAGCGGCTTGGGGAGGTGGGGGAGATTTATTTTTCTTTCTTGCTCCCTCCCTACCTTCACTCACACATGTCTCTTTAGAAGAAGATTTGCGTGTACCTCACATGACCATGAGGGCAAGAGCGCCAACAGGAACTTTCTCTGGTCGGTGGGCTCCTGACTATCGAGTGCCCCGCCCTTCCCAACTTCCCTCGGCTGGAGCATTATCTGGCACTTGCTTCCTGTCTCTGAGGGAAGGCCGCTTCTTGTCGCTCCAATCCTAATCTTCGCCTGACCTCATTTGGATATTTAGGGTTCGAAGGAATGCTCCTTCCTATCTGCTCCCACTTGCGTGGACCTCAGGGCAGATCCTGAGCTCCTGCCGCGGGCAAAGGTATAGTGCCATCGCTGACGTGGTCAGGCGGTTCGTGGATGGAGGTCGGTCCACTGCCAGAGGAAGATGTTGTTCGGTGGAGGGGCTGATCCACGGGAGGACACCTAGATATCAGAGAATGCAAGAGCTGAAAAGTATCCTGCAGGTCATCTAGGCTAACCCTCTCATTTTACAGTGAGAACCCGGACCGGGCTTGCCAGGCTTTAGACACCTAATTATTGGTAGAGTAGGAACTAAATTCGAGGTTTCCTAATTCTTGCCGGGTCTTTTTCTACCATTGCCTCTTTATTTTCTGATTAGTTACCCTAACTTGGTTGAGTGCAAGGCCGTCTTGGGGAAGCCAAGAAGCTTTGCCCATATTATGTAGCATACATGCAAAGCGTATGAGTATGCAAAGGCATGTTTAAGTGTTGTTGTGATTAGCAGTGAACGAGCAGTTCGGAAAGAAATGGTTCTTGATTACCGAACATTACAGTTGTGTAGCATCAGACCTCTTCACATCTTCCTTAGGAAACTGGGAATGAGCCCCGAAAATAGACCCTTTAAAACTTGGGAAAGCACCTGCTGTTTCTTTCCCCAGGTGGTCGGACTATATTTGCACTGGTTTATTGCCAGAGTGCCTGTTTGTGGGTGGCTCATTGGTTAAAAAGAATTTCAGATGAAGGGTTTCTCTCCTGCCTGACTAATCCCATCCTGATATGTCACTGGGTCATGTGACAGCACTGCAGTGTGAGGAGAGAGAAGAACACACTTGATTCTATGGTTTGCTGAGATGTGCTTTTTACATTGGGAATGATCTGAATTAGAGAATGTCTATTCGGGGTTTATGTGAGCTGACGTAAATGTTTTAGGAAGTTGACAGATGTTGCATTCTTATATAAGTTTTGATAATAAATTTATACCTAACAATTATAAATTCTCTTTCATAAATTACATTCGTATTTGCTTTTCTTTGGTTAGAACAGATAGACGTTAGTCATGCTTCTAGGAAAAGATTATAAAGATGCAGTAGTCAGTTTTCATACAGTTATTCAATGTCAATTCAGAGAGTATCAACTGAAATAATAATGTTTAAAGAGTTCTCCATGATTAAGGTTATAAGCCCTTAAGGGAGATGAGTATGATTTTTAAGTGTTCTCTGTGCCTAGTCAGTGACTGAAGAACTTCTGCAAAATTGTTGGAACATAATGCTTAAAACCGAACCATTAGGGGTCAGGAATTCTTTTTGTATCCTCAGTGCCTAGCACAGTGCTTGACACACAGAAGTACAGTGTCTTGTAATTCATTGTAAAACTTGCATTTAAACCCCTTGCTTTAATAGTAGAGTGGGTAGATTCTTAACGTGGATGGATTCAGAGTAGGGAGTTGGGATACTTGTTGAGGTGAATTCCCCTTCTGTGGCTGGGTTATTCTAAAAAATCATAAATGATATCATATGTAGGCTAACAGCTAACTGCATTTGCAGATTATCATATATTTCCTATATTGCCACATTCCTGTTTCTAGTCAACAGTTTTAATTGCTTCTGAGTAAATGTCGATTAACTTCTTAATTTTTCTAATTAAGGATTAATGGTACTATCTTAGGCGATGTTATAGTTTTGTGTGTTTTTTGAACGAAGGAATGGAGTTATATCGGCAGCTCCACTGTACAAATTGGGTCCTGTTTTAAAACACCTTCAGAATTATGGGGCTGTTAACAAGGAATGAGAAATGAAATATGCAGGCTTGACATAATCTTGAGCACTTTAGTTGAGTTTCTAAAGTCACAGGAAAGAAAACTTGATTTTCTTTTAAACTTTGAGCGAGGTTCAATAATATTGTTAAAACTTTTGGATGCTAAACATGTTGAATTAGATAATCTCCATTGTTCTTAAGACCCTAGGTCAACTAACCTCATGTTCTTCCATCATAAAGCAGAGCTAGCCTGAGAATAGTCAAAGGGCTGACTTTTTCTAGAACTTCTCCCTCAGTGCCCACTGCTCAAGGTGTGGGTATCTACTCTTCTTGCACAATGGAAGATAATTGCTCTGGATTTTTGTTTTGCTAATAAGGTGGAGGCTGAAGGACTAGATCTCTTATGGTGCAATGGCTTTCGAATTTTCTCTCTAAAAATTTCACAATCATTAAGTGGGGTTAAGTAGTGTTGAACAATCTCATATCCTGCAGGAGGAAGAGGATGTCATCTGACAAAATACATGCTGCTTAAAACCTTTGTAGATTTTGGTTTTAAATGTTACTCCATAGATATGTATTGCCTGCTTGACAGTTCAGACTCAAACATGTGACTTGTTGGTTGTAAAATGTGTTTGGCATGTAACATAAAAATGTATCTGCTGTGTTGTCAGAAGTTCTGATCATCTCCTGCAGACCCAAGGTCTTGTTCATTTGGAAATTTTCAAGAGAAGAATGGTCACTATTTTGGTAAACGGAAATGATTATGTAATTTGTGAATGGGTTTTCACTTTTTTAAAGAACAGCTTAATGTCTTTGGCAGCCTTACTCTAAATTGTTCTCTCTGTTTTGGACTGTCTGTGGTAATGATGAGGAAGCTGGGTGAGTATTCGAGAGAGAGAATAGAAGGTAGTGTTTGATATCATTTCTCTGCCTTTTTTTTTTTTTTTTTTGCAAATAATTTTATTATCATGAAAAAGAGCTATAGTTTGTGTATAAACTGTCTTCTAACATTTATTTGTAGTTCAAGTTCTCAGAACTGTGTCATCTCCATGTTTTTTAATTATACTGGAGACTAAGTTCAGAAATATTGTAGGATCACAGAGTACTAACTTTAGAATTAGGAACAAAAAGCAAGCAACAAAACAGACAAAAAACCACTTCTAATCCTGGCTTTTCCCAGTTAGTAACAAATTTCTCAAAGGCTTAGTTTAAGTGTAGAGTGAGTGTATCAGCCTTGCCTACCTCTCAGCATTTTTGAGGTAACCTATCTAAAGAGGCTCTGTAAAAGTGTGAAATACTCTCCAAATACTTGTTTGGTCATTTTTTAAATTTAGTTTGGGTTATAACATTTACTAGTTTAGTTTGTATATATTAGTTTAATTTAAACCAAGCATGTTGCTTAACCTCTGATTTGTATCAGCAGCAGTCTCCTGTTTTTTGTGCTTTCGAGTGAGGGAAAACCACTGAAGCATCTCCATTAGATTCTTTCCTCTGCTTAAACTCTCTAGTGGCTGAACTCCACTGGAGAAAGATTGTTTTGCAGTAACGACAAAATGTGGACACAAGGGAATCATTGTCCAGTGTGCTAAATAGTAACAATAACTTATTTTTTCATAGCTAAAGATGCAGTCTGGTGAAATTATTTTTGAGTGATAAAACTACATAGTTCCAGATAATTATGAGTGTATCAGACCACAAAAAATGATCTGATCAGTTCAGTATTAGAATTTGCGCTGCAGTACAGAATTACAAACAAGTGACTCTGGAGCCAGGCTATTCAGATCCTTGGGCAAGTTACTTAATTTCTGTGAATCATTTTTTTTCCTTCTAAAACTTGGAATAATGTTTAGTTAACTCAGACCTGTTATGGAAGTTAAATAAAAATTTCTGATAAGTGTTTAATAAATGTGTATTGGTGATGGTGTTAAAGTGAATTTGAATGGTTATTTTTTGGCTTTTTTTTAAAGGCTACATATATTGTATATTGAGAGACTGCTATTGATGAAGCAGAATCTTGTCTTCTGTAGTAGAAGTCAACTTGATTCCTTGTTTCCTGGAAAATCAATGACTAGTGTTTCTTTTTCTTGGTCATGCTTTTGCTCGTGACTGGCAGAATTTCATAATTTTGAATGAGCTTGAATTTAAACATGAGATTCTGAAACATCATTTGTTGTAGACGTTGGAAGTTCAGAGGAGATGCAAATCTGGTTGAAAAAGTAAAGAGAATTTCAGAATTGAAGGATTCTGTAAATCTCTAAACTAGATCTTCTTACCCCTAACCCCCCAGCCCACTCCCTCCTCCCATCCCCAATTGTTTAGGTAGAGGCTTTGAAAAGGTTTAGCGTTTCTGTATTTTTAAACACTGGGTTCTAAGAAAACATTTTTCTAATTTAGCTCACCTTGCATTTACACATAGCAATTTTAGAAAGTCATTGATAAACAATGTTTGGACTCTATTAAAATGAGAACAATGAATAATTTTTTTAGGGGTCGGAATCGTTTTTAAAAGTATTAGATTTAAAAAAATGGGGAAGATTTTCATAACAATAGCAGAAAATATGACAACTGGAATCTTTCTAATAATTTTAGAGGAATGATTAATTCTTAAATATTACCACCCATTCAGGTAACTTAACTTCTTAAATTTGTGACTTGCCTTTTATCCTTGGTTAAAAAAAAAAAAAGAGTCATTTTGGGACCTCTGTTGAGATCATTACAATTACAGATGTATTCAAGCAAATATTTGGTGTTGGGATTTAAATGTCTTGTGAGTATTACAGCGAAGGGTCTTGATAGTGCTTGCCTGCTCTGTCCCAGTGTTTCTACCAGGGCACTACTTCCTGGTTGAAGAAATTGTTTTTAAGTTCTGGAGCCCCTTGAGTGGATAGACTGGTTATTAAATGGTTTCCTCATTCTTGGGAGTCTACATTTGTGCCAGAAATCTCTGTCCAAGACCTGGTAAGCCAAGCAAGTGAAAAATTCCCAATTGGTTGACAGCTTCTTGTAAATTATTTTAGGCCTTGTAGTATGTTTTCTTCAAAAGTTCACTTCATTTTTTTCCAGCTGTTCTGTTTTATACCTAATTATCATTGCACTTGACATGTTGTGTGAGGTGCGATATGGTTGAAGGCTAGCTACCCCAGGGATAGATTCCCAGGGCATAATTTTCAGTAGAAATTTCCTCTAAACCGACAGTAATTTAACGTTTTTTTTTTTTAAGAGGCTTATCTTATATGACCTCTGGCCTTTCGTTCCATTGCTCACTCCCACTTCATAAAGCATTTTCCCTAGAGTTTTTAAGACACCGTTTAATCATGGCTTTTTACCTTAGCAGACTACATTTTCTTTGATTTCCTTAGTGAGTTTTGTCACTTCTGCTTAAAGGATTCCCTTTTCTTTCCTTATCTACTTTGCTAAGTGCCACCTCTTCTATAAAGTTTTCCTTTCCTCTCCACAGTGAGATGACTCTAGGTTTTTCCTGTTCTTCCATAAACCCTCTGCCCACCTGTGAGAGCCCTTAACTCCCCCTTCATCCTATAAAACTGTGGGATGCCTGAGGGGAATCTGCCTCCGTCCCTTCTTTGTTTTTGTATCCTGGGTCTTTGAAACAATACTACTTACTCATCTTACTCATAGTAAGGATTCAGAATGTTCTGGGTTGGATGAAGGTAGATTATGAAAAGTTGTATAAGCACGGACATTTAATAAATTCAGTGAAAAATTTTGTAACTATTCGAGTGCTCCTTATTATAATAGGTGTGATAAAATGGAGAGAGGTTTGTTTTTTTTTTTTTTTTTTTGGTAATCCTAGAGAGCTAATTTAGGCTGTTGTCCAATTTGACTAAAGCTTACTCTTCTATTTTTTTTCCCCCCAGCATACAAGACAGTATCAGGAGTCAATGGTCCACTGGTGATCTTAGATCATGTTAAGGTAACATCACCATCATTATCGTTTAACCATCTGTGAAGTTAAGAACGTGGCATTAAGTCTCGTTTAGTACACTTTAAATTTTATGTTAGGATTTTTAAGCCATTCCTTGGTCTGAATGTCCGTGCTATGTGGGAGACAAGAGTTTTAGATAAGTAGTCAGAAGAGTAGATTCCAGTACTGGATCGACTGTAGATTCTGTTTGTGGCCTAGAAACCCTTGTCTGCAAAATTAAGAACAAAATTTTTGTCATTCCTACTTCACGGGCCTATTGAGAAAAACAACAACAATAATAATATATAGGTATATGGCTCTTGTCATAGACAGCCATGTGTTATAATTACTCGTTATAGTATTTGTCTCATCTTCTCTGCTAACATTTTATGGTCTATGAGTGATTAAACAATGTTACTTTTACCTTTGAGGACCCGACACTGGTATTCAAATAATAAATAAATAAAAACAGATTATCTCAACAGTGACTAAAATCTTAAAGCAAGGTCTAGGTTTTACTTTTTCAGTTTGTTGTGAGGATCTTTAGTTAAATGTTGTAGCCACACATATACATAAGAATTATAAACACATTAGTGTTATTTTAGAAAAAGAGGCATAGAATATAGTCTGTAATTGAATACCCTGGATGGAGCCACTTACCTGAACTCTATGATCAAATATCTCCAGAGAAATTAATTTCTATAATATGCTCTCCAGAACAGTAATTCTACATTGGTTTTTTGGGTGGATCAGGAGGAAAGGCACACAATTACTTGTTTTTGAGAGAAGTAATGATGGAATTATGTTGGCATGTGACTCCTCTGGAAGTAGAAAATAAATTGAAAAGTATTTCCTAAAAGAAAGGGCAAAGTACATTGTCTCTTCAGCTTTATCATCAAGATAATATTTCTGTATATGACAAGATACCTATACAGATTACTCTCAGCATGAAGCATAGCAAGCTTACCTCCCGGCCACAGTTTCATACTAGTCTGCGATTTGATTCAAAGCCTCAATATATAGTATTCACGTTATACAAGGTTTCAGCCCGTGCCTGTTAACGTTTTGTGAAAAAATGGAGCCTACACTTTTATTTTTTGAGGGGAAGTATAGGAAGCTTTATTTGTTTCTTTATCTGTTCTTTTTGTAATTATAAAATTTTGGACTCATATTTTTTAAATATGAAACTTCTATTAGTATATATATTGAAAAATTTAAAAATATTCATGTTTCAACTATGTTAAGTCCTGAGCTCAGCACAGAAAATATCATGGTGAACAGTGGGCATGGCCTCTCTCCCACTGGAGCATAGTGCAGTGGAAAAGCAGGTATAATACAAATACACAAATGTCTAATTAGTCACTTCTGTGAAGGGTAAGTGCAGGATGAGAGTCAATAACAGGAAGGTTTCAGAAAACATCTTTGAAGAAGTAATTTTAAGAGAGCTAAAAAAGTTTCATTGAAAGTTTGGGATATAGCTTCAGCTGAGGAAAAACTAGTAAATAAATTGTATGTAGGAATGGCTTCTAAGCCACCAGATTTAAAGTGATTTTTTAAATTTAATTTTTGGCTTTCGTTTTTAACTTAAAGCATACACATAGGGTCAAGGAACAGATACTCTTATACAAATTATGTAATAATAGAAGAATGTGGAGACTGCTACTCAGCTCATGAAGTTAGCACATCTTTAATTCACAAACCAGACAAAGAGTGGTATGAGAAAAGAAAAATATAGCTAGTCTCACTTATATGCACAGATTCCAAAATTCTTAATAAAAATATACTCGTGTTAGGTATTAGCAAAAATATCTGTGTAAAAATAAACAGAATTATTCCAAAGTAGAATTTATCACAGTAATACAAAGATGACTTGGTATTAGAAAAAAATGTATCAGTGTAATTCATCAGCTCATTCATGGGTCAAAATAGGAAAAGCCTATACTCCTCTCAATAAATACAGAAAAAATATCTGTTAAAATCACTTATTTCCTAAAAAAAACAAAAAACAAAAAACAAAAAAAACACTCTTGGAAATAAGTAATAGAATACATTTTTACCCTCTTAAAAGGATACCCAGCTCAACCTGGAGCAAAGAACATACTTAAGGAGGAGACTGGAATCATTTCCTTTAAATCAGGAACAAGATGAGGATGCCTGTTGTCGCCCCCCACTCTCCATCTTTGTGCTCAGAACCTAACTGTGCTGTGGGAAAAAGAAATTGGGATACAGGCATTAGAAATAAAAAGGCACAGTTCTCATCATTTCTTGGTGATATGATTAGCTGAACAGAAAACCCACGTCATTCAGTAGACAAATGGTTAAAAACAATAGTATAAAACGGTTGCCAGATACAAGGATCAGTCTGCAGAAATCAGTTGTGTTCTGTGTGCCAGATTAATTAGAGTGATTAGTACCTGTTTATAGAAAACTATGAAACTTTGTTGAAAGACATGAAAGAAAACTTAAAATAAGTGGAGAGTTGGTGATGAGTGAAAAGACTCAGAATAGTAAAAATGTTGATTGTCTCCAGATAACAAAATCAGAGATAGAATCATGGGGAATAAAGGTTTGGTGCAGGAATAAATTTGTCAGTGGAGCAAAACTGAGAGCCCAGAAACCAACTCTCCTCACATATGAGAACTGAACTTGGTAAATGATAAAGGCTCCGTCATGAGTCAGGGGGACGTTTAGTGCTGCTCAGTGCATATTGTTAGGGCAGTTGACTGCCTATGTGAAAAAGAATAAAAATGAGAAAGATAAACTAAAATTATGTACCGAAAGTAAATCCAGGTGGATTAAGAACTTAAACATGAAAAACCTAATAGAAGACAATGCAGAAGACCATTTTTATGATGTCAGATTGGAAGGTTTTCCTAAACAAGACAAAAGCACAAATCATAAAGGAAAATAAGTCATTACATAAAAAGTTTTTAAACTTCCATATGATAAGATAGCCATAAACACAATTAAAAGACAAGAAACCGATTGGGAGCAGATATTTGCAAAAGGATTAGTTCCAGAATCTATAAAACTACTACAAATAGGAAAAAGCAAGCAGATCCAGTTGAAAAGTGAGAAAGAGGTATTAATAAGCCAATCATAGGAAATGAAGTCTAAATTGTCAGTAAACATGAAAAGATGCTTAGTCTTAATAGAATAAGGAAAATGCAAATAGATGCTATTTTTCACTTAATCAGATGGCAAAATTAATGTTTAATAATAATAAGCTGGCAGAGATGTAGTGAAAAGATACTTTTGTATACTGCTAGGGAGATTGTAAATTTATGCAGTTCCTTTGCAGCTACTTTTGTATACTGCTAGGGAGATTGTAACTTTATACAGATTTAAAGCAGTAAAGGAGCACACCCTGTAGCCCACCACTAGGTAACCAAACCTTAGGGAAGCTCGGGTACACTTGCATGAGGAGCTGATGCAAGAATGTTCATTGCAGCATGTTTGCAGTAGTGTAAATTTGGAACAACCTTGAACTCCATCGGTGGAACAACTGAATAAAATGTGACATTTGATTTTATGTCTGTCCTGACATTAATTCTAAGATGCCCATTTATTCACATATTAGCATCTCCAAAAATCAAGTTACAATCAATGGTTCATCAGTTTAAAAAATAGGCAGATGTTTTTCTTCACGTCTTACAAAATAGATTATGTTGATAAGGTAAATGTTAGCATGGCAGAGCGAAAAGGTATGTGGAAAAAAAAAGTTACAGGATGATATAATTAGTATGTTGCCATTTATGGAAAACTACAGTGTTTTTTTGGAAATGTGCATGTAAAATATTAAGACTGGATTAAAAGAATACATGTGTAATTAGATTGAGGGGGAACATTAACATTGTTTTATTATAATCTTCATTATTTTATTATTTAGTTGCATTTTATCCCCCTGCTTCCAAAGCACACAAGCGATCACATACACAGCAAACATTGGTTCTGAGTAGGGGGAACATAGTTATTTGTAAGTTTTGTACCTTCCCATAGTTTCAAAACTTTAAAACATACACAGAGGGAAAAAAATTTGTTTGCTGTGTTTTCATAGATTTAAATCACTTCTCTCTGTACCTTTTGCTGGTTTGCCAGTGTGTGTGCCAGTGATTAGCGTTTTAAAGACTTAAACTACCTGTGGATGTTGTTAACTCTCAGTGTTTACCTGTGTGTGATGAGTGGTGGGGGGATTGCACATGTGTAAATGCTGTGACCAAGATAGGCATATATAGGGTGTTTGGGGGCACCTTCACCCCTAACCCCAACTCTAACTTTAATCTTTAATCCTCTAATTGGTTATTAATCCTTTATTTTTTCCTATTTAGTTTCCCAGATATGCTGAGATTGTCCACTTGACATTACCTGATGGCACGAAGAGAAGTGGGCAAGTTCTAGAAATCAGTGGTTCCAAAGCAGTGGTTCAGGTAAACATCACTTTTAAAACCTGGCCAGTAGAAATTTTCCCTAATCACAAAAACATAAGGAGCACCACTTGTTTTTTTCTAGTTATCATTGCCTAAGTATATCTTTAGAGACTGATTATTTGCTGTGGGGGAAAAATTGCCTTTGCATGTTTTCTCGCCAGATGTCAGCCACCTATATCGATTCTAGCCCAATAGCTCTACTGGTAAAATGACTTTTCTTTTTCTTTCTTTCTTTTTTTTTTTAATGGATAAAATGAACTAGATAATCATACAGAGGTGAAGAGCAGAATTCACAGTTTATGGGGTGAAACCAAAGTGAGATGTGCATCTGTTTCTTTAAATTGTCTCCTATAATTCCTAGTTTTTAATTTTATTGATTATGGGAAATGCATTTTCTCAAATAACATATTTCCCTAAAAAGTCTCCTAGAGCATGGTTAGCAGAATTTCTGTAAAGGGCCAGATAGTAAATTTTTTCAGGCTTTGTGGGGCTACCTAAGGTCCCCGAGGCATATTTTTATTCTTCCTTTTTTCTTTTTCTTTTTTTTTTTCCAATTAAGCAACCCTTTAAAAATATAAAAAACTTTCTTAGCTCGATGTCCTATAGACATGACCCTTAGTCAAGAGGTTGTGTTTGTGATCTTAAAAATCGTGTACATTTACGTATTTGTCTTTATAAGAGCTGCTTAACAGACAAAATTTGAATGGTTATGATTGAAATTTCTTTTATCCTCCTGATTCCTTCTCTTTCTTGGTAGGTATTTGAAGGGACTTCAGGTATAGATGCCAAGAAAACGTCCTGTGAGTTTACTGGAGATATTCTCCGAACACCAGTGTCTGAGGACATGCTTGGTAAGTTGACATTATTATGCATTCTGAGCAGAGAGTTGTTTCCTTTTCAATATATTTCTATAAAATCTTTTTAAAAATATGAATATTTATGTCCTTGTCCACTCCATACTGTCTTGTTACTGTTTTACAGGTCGAGTATTCAATGGGTCAGGAAAACCCATTGACAGAGGGCCTGTTGTACTGGCTGAAGACTTCCTTGACATCATGGGTAGGGACAGTAAATGGATTTCTGTATTTTGGGGAAAATAGCCTCTATCTAGCTTATATCTTTGCCAGGTAGTGATTTTTGTGATACTTTAAGTAGTTAACCGATACATTCCATAGCTAATTAATTAATAAGTTAATTAATTAAATTATTTAAGAAATTTATTTTTCCTAGAGAGCATCTTAAAATTTTATATAAAATATCTTAAAGAAGGGGATCAAGTATATGATAGCTGAAGGAAACTAGACTTTGGGTAGTAAACACACAATAGAATGTACAGATGTCAAATTATAATGTACACCTGAAATTTATATAATTGTATTAACCAATGTTACCCCAATAAACTTAATATTAAAAAAGTAAAAAAAAATTAAAAAAATATCAAAGATATCGTAAAATACCACTAGGGTATATATATCTAAAACGTAATTAGTAAAGCCATGGCTTTGATTGAGGTCACCCTCCTATTTGCGGTACCTTTATTTCACTGTGGGGACTGGAATTCTGCTACCATATATTTCATGTGTCTACAAAACACTAATGGCAAAAATGACTTAAACAGATTTCAGAAATAACTGATATTTTAAGAATAGAAAGAAGTGCTTTATATGGTTTTAGTCTTAATGTGCAGACATGGTAAAATTTTCCCCTTTGGAAATGCATCAGGCCAGCCAATCAACCCTCAGTGTCGAATCTACCCGGAAGAGATGATTCAGACCGGCATTTCAGCCATAGACGGCATGAACAGTATTGCTAGGGGACAGAAAATTCCTATCTTCTCTGCTGCCGGCTTACCACACAATGAGGTGAGAGCTAGGATCTGTTCCATATGAAATTTAACAGAGAAGAATTTCTTAATGCTTCACTGTTAGAGAGAAACCAAATAAAGGGTTTTCAACATAAATACCCAGTGTTACTGTTTATGTAATCCAGTTACGTTGAGTCTTTATCCACCCGTGATGGCTGTCTGCTTGCTTACTCTTAGGGATCTTTGCAAAAAGTACAAAGTAATTTCGTTAGGTAAAGTTGTTTAAAGTACCCATTTTTATTTATAATTACAATTCCAAAAAATTAAGGATATAAGTTATTTTGTTGTAGAAATGTTATTTTAGATTTCAACGCAGTGCTTTTGTACTCCTCATCAGATTGCAGCTCAGATTTGTCGCCAGGCTGGTTTGGTAAAGAAATCCAAAGATGTAGTGGACTACAGTGAGGAGAATTTTGCGATTGTATTTGCTGCTATGGGTGTAAGTATAATTAGTTTCTGCTTTCGTGTGAAATACAAAATTAATTGCTTATGTTATTCGAACAATGTAGAAAACTACACTTATATTGTTGAGTTTATCTCTAGGTAGAGAAGTTTTAACTTGGAATTTTGGGCTTTTGACTGAAATGTAAGAAAAAATTCTCTGCGCCTAAAGCAGGCTGTGTTCATTCTGTTGGCTTTTGTGAAAATTTTTTGGGTACTTGAAACTTTAAAAGCAGGAGCAATGCAGATCTATAGCTTGGCCTTCATCAGAAATACATACTGAGAATTTTTCTTCTCCCAGCACTGATGAAGTCATTGCTATTTAGGTAAACATGGAAACTGCCCGGTTCTTCAAATCTGACTTTGAAGAAAATGGCTCCATGGACAATGTCTGCCTCTTTTTGAACTTGGCTAATGACCCAACGTAAGTAAATAGAGCTGTTTCTTTCTGTTCACCCAGGCTTTAGGTCAGAAATGTTACCTAAGACTAGGGAGATAAAATATAATGAAAAGCAACATGGGTTTTGGAATGAGATAACTGTATTTAAATTCCAGCTTTTCTTCTTTCTAGTTATTTGGCTTTGGGCAAAGCACTTAGTCTCTGAAGCTCAGTTTCCTCTTTCAGAAAATGTGACAAATGATACTTGTCTCACAAGGTTGTTGTGCATGTTAAATGAGATAATACATATAAATTACTTAGCACACAATCCATATTCGATAAATGATCTTTTCCTCTTATATGAGAAATCCGGCCCCTATTTCTTCCCTTACACGCTCGCGCGCGCTCTCGCACGCGCGCGCTCGTTCTCTCTCTCTCTCTCTCTCTCTCTTTCTGTTTTGAGAACTGTGTAGTTCTGAGGAATTATGGGGCATTTATAAAACAGTCAACTTTGCAGAACTAAGTAATTCTTATTACTTGAATACATAAAATAACACTGCCTTATTTAAGAACTTTTAAAGTAAAAATTGGTTTACTGTCCTCAATTTATTGAAAACTTTCGGAGGGAGACTGCTGTTATTTCCAGAATCTCATTTTCTTTTGTTTTTGGCCTTTTTGTTTGAGTGACATAGGACTTAATGTTCCATTTCAGTATTGAACGAATTATCACTCCTCGCTTGGCTCTAACCACAGCTGAATTTCTGGCCTATCAGTGTGAGAAACATGTATTGGTTATCCTAACAGACATGAGTTCTTATACTGAAGCACTTCGAGAGGTAACTTTTTTCTTAATTAAAATCACTTAATTTTATGTTGTCCTTTTGCAAGTTTTTATTTTTCTTTAATCATGTTTTTAAAACTTCATCGCTCACATCTTAGCAGAATACCTTAGTTACTAAGAAAGTAAAGTACAATTTGTTTTCTGTTACTTTATTTGAAATGATTAGAGGATAAGATGTGAATTATTAGCCTATCTGTCATACTGTTATTTTCTCTGTGGATTAAGACATGATTCTAAAAGAGAGAAAGTGATGCAAGCTATTTATTCAATAACTCTTCCAAAAAGTTCTGTCTCTGTCCAGACTGTCAATTGTTAACCCTCTTCAGAATTTCATTTTTAATGATGTTAGTATTTAAATAAATAAAGGCCCTATTCTGGCAGCACCCTTTTCAGAAACTTTTCTTTCAGAAAACTCAGTGTTTATTTAGGAACGATGCTAAGATTCTCACAGTTAACACCTGGAAGTTTGGGGTTTTTATTCTAATGTGAGTTACTGGAATTTTGAGTAAGTTACTTTTTTAAGTATGTAAAAAGGAAAAAGACTTCTGAAGAGAATGCTATATAAATACCTAGCTTCTTAAAATTCCCTAAGATCCATCACCTTATTTCACTCTGCTGCCATGCTTTTTCAGTGAAGGGCTCCCTCCACACCCCTCCCCCAATCTGTCACAGACCAGTACTTTTTAAAAATACAATAAAAATGAGTTATTAGAAAAGTGAAAGCTTTAAAAAAGGGTATCATGTACAAGCTCAGATTTTAAAAATTAGATTCAACACATAAAATTATTCTGTTGAATTGCCATTAAAAGTTTTCTAAATGCTTTTTATATTATTTCACTGCATATTGGTAAAAGCTGGTTGCAGACCACACTTTGAGTGGCACTGCTGTAGCACACTTTTAGGGATGCCAAAGTAGCACTTAAACTTGAGCCTAATTCTTTTGGATTCTTGGTGGTTGAAGGATGTGTATGCTTACACTCTAGTATGCATACTTTTAAGAGCAAGACTGTTTGTTACTGTTCTTCTTTTGTGCAGCCAGTAGATCTGGCTCTGTGATCTTGGGAATTAATTTATCTGACCTTTGATTTCAGCTGTAAATTGGTGTTAACAATGTTACCTTCCTCATAGGGTTGCTGTGAGGATTAAATAATGTATGTAAAGTACATCAAATGATTCCTAGTGTAGATTTTCTTCCCTTTTGACCTTTTCAGGTTTAGCATAAGATCCTTGGTATGAAATAAATCTCATGAACTAAGAAGGTAAAACTTTGATTTCTCAAATTGCAAGCAGATTTTCTTCTAGGAAGCTATTTGAAGATTTGCATTACGGCAATGTGATTTTAGCAAAAAACATTTGGTCCCTAGTTGTCCATATTTTTGTTGCAAAATAATTTGAACTTGTGTTGCTAGGTTTTCCTTGCTCATCTGTTAGAGACAATATTTAAAATGAAAAAGATGCTATTTCCAGCTGTGTAATTTGGCATGTTCAAACAAACGTGTTCTAAGCAAGCTTTACTTTCCGTATGCTGGTGTGTGATATTGTCCCTGGCCTCACTGTCAGGTGTCAGCAGCCAGGGAAGAGGTTCCGGGTCGACGCGGTTTCCCAGGCTACATGTACACTGATTTAGCGACAATATATGAACGTGCCGGTCGGGTGGAAGGTAGAAATGGCTCTATTACTCAAATCCCTATTCTCACCATGCCTAACGATGGTAAGTTTTGGGTCTTTGGATTCTAGCAGACCTGACTGTTGTAAGCACTTTCATTCTTAGGGAGAAGACCATCTACTTTTTTGAGTTGAAATTCTCTTGAGAGTTTATTCTCTAAGAGTTTACATAAACTAGTGATTTGTACCCAAATAAAATATTTCATTTGAAAGCTGCCCATAATTACTATTATTTTTTTGGATGGGGGGACAATCCTTTTCTTCTTTGTAATTTGAATTTTAAATTTTCATTTATTAGGTGCTATTGAGTGCCTGCTGTTTGCAGGACACTGGTCTATGTATAAGAAATTTTAAAAAATTAGTCTTAACCTAATATAAGTTATTTGTTCTAGTTGGATATTTTTTATGTATGTGCACCAGTAATTTAAGGTTAGCTTAAGTGTCAGATGAAGAGCGCAAATAGTAAATGCCACAAGACTAGAGACAGAATGATCACCAAAGGCTGGTTAAAAATTACTGTGTTTTCTCAGTGTGCGCTCAGAGTGGCTTCTGGGTGAGACTCAGCATTCCTCTTACGTTACTGCCTTTTAGTCCTATTTCAGTTTTTAAAAAGCACTTTTATAAGATATGTTCAGAAGCAGCAGTAATTCACTATAATTGAGCACTGTTCTAAATGCTTTATAAATATTGACTTATTTGGTCCTCATGGCAACTTTGAGATAGATGCTCTAATCTGAGGCACAGGGAGGTAAAGTGTCTGTCAGGGTAGGAGGTGGTAGCTTTAGAATTCATAAATCACACGAACTGGTATACTTTGCTGACTCTGATATGAAAATTATTTGTTCCAAGAAAGTAGCTACAAAATTACTTTATGTAATTTAGCAGATTTAGAAAGTCTTGCTATATTTTCCATGTTGAAATAGCTTATGAGCTAGGAATATTCTCTCATCAAAAGTATACATCAAATTGGCAAATCTCTGCAAGAGAACTTCGTGTTTAAAATGGAGTTTTATTTATATTTTGGGGAGAGATCACATAACTAGGAGAAATTGTACTTTTATGAATGCAGCTAATTTACCTCATATGCCAACGCATATCTAATTATGCTGCAACCTAATAAACTGTCCAATATGGTAACCTCTAGCCACATTTCCCTCTCTAAATTCTAAAGTTAATTAAAATTAGATAAAATTTGAAGTATAAAGTTTTTGAGTTACATGAGTCACATTTTACGTGCTCAGTGGCCACATTTTGCTACCGAATTGGACAGCACAAATAATGGAACTTTTCCATTACGCAAAAATTGTTTTATATAACACTGCTTCAGGTAATACTGTGGCTAATGCCTGTCGACTTCCTGTGCCTTTGTTTATATGAGATGGAGACTTTAACTGATATCAGATATCTTCCTCTGGTAGATATCACTCACCCCATCCCTGACTTGACTGGATATATCACAGAGGGGCAGATCTATGTGGACAGACAGCTACACAACAGACAGGTATTTGACATTTGGGCAGTGCTGTAAAGCTTATAAATCTACTCTTCATTTACTCTTTCGTGACTTAGACTTTGCCCTTAGGATTTTTTAATATTTATCTATCTATCTATCTATCTATCTATCTATCTATCTATCTATCTATTTATTTATTTTAGAAATTATCAACTTGATTTTGATATAACTTATAAAATTGTCATGTCTGTATATAGCAGATCCTCAACGTCATTTTGTTTCATTTGTCATTTCATTCTAATGTTGATGAGATATGCCGTAAGAACTCTTGTGTATATCAATTAGCCTGTGGGAAAACTTTTGTGACTTTAAGCAAAATGACAGTTTTACTACAAAATCCTGGTGTAGATAAGAATACCAGAATTAAGAATTAAATTTCCACTTTTCTTTATTGTGCCTTAAAATGGAGTTAGGTGTCTCAAAGAACTTTTGTGGGTGTTCTATCCCATAACAGTGCAATCTACCAGTCTTGTTTTATTAATACAAAAACAGATTTTTTTATTTTTTATTTTTGTATCGAGGGATAATTAGTTTCAGATGTACAGCATAATGATTCAGTATTTGTATATATTGCAAAATGATCACCACTGCAGGTCCAGTTCACATTCATCGCTATAGTTAGAAATTTTTTTTCTTGTGATGAAAACTTTTAAGATCCAATCTTCTAGCTACTTTCAAATATGCCATGCAATTTTATTAACTGTAGTCTCCATGCTGTACTTGACATCCCCATGACATAATCATTTTATAACCGGAAATTTTACCTTTTGCCCGCTTCACGCCTCTTGTCTCCTGACCGCCACTCCCTGCCAATCTGTATCCATGAGCTCACGGTTTTTTGTTTGTTTTTGTTTTTTTTAGATTCCATATGGTATTTATCTTTTTCTGTTTGACTTATTTCACTCAGCGTAATACCCACAAAGTCCATCCATGTTGTCACAAATGACAAGATTTCATTCTTTTTTATGGTCAAATAATTAAAAACAGATTTTTGAGGCTTCTATAATACATGCCAGCTTCATACCAGCTTTTAGGTGGAGTTGTTATTCTTTTTATTTTGTATGTGATTTTGAGTCAGAATTCAGAAGACCGTTTAGATTCGATACTACAGGCAGGTACTGAAAATTCAGGTTTTCAATATAATCTTGTACTGTTTTATAGATTTCACTTTTTGGATTTGTTTTTTTAAATAAATACTATACCATAAAGTGTTTTCTTACCAGGAAAACATTAGAACTCATCAAAGAAACAATTGTAGCTCTTTTATGTAATTTAAGGAATAATAATGAGTTGCAAAATGTTTCTTTACTACCAGTAAAGTTTGAATTTTGTACTTAAATATAATATTTTCCCCCTCCCGTTCTACCTAAGATTTACCCGCCTATTAATGTGTTACCATCATTGTCACGGTTAATGAAGTCTGCTATTGGGGAAAGTATGACCAGAAAGGACCATGCCGATGTATCCAACCAGCTGGTACGTGTATCCTCTAAGGGGGGTGCTTGAATACCTTCCATAGTCCATTCTCTCTGCTGCCTTAGATCTCTTATCCTTCTCCCATTCACTTTTCTTCCCCCTGCCCTGTCCACGTAGAACGTTAGTACAGGTTTATGTGGAATACATAAGCATTCATTGCAACCAAGCAGTCTTTTTTCATGAGGATAGATGCTGCTGATAACCAGGATTAAAAACCATATGCTTGAAAGCCACATCTAATGCTGTAGAAGGTAGATTATAAACACCGAGCCATAAGGTGGTTTTAAGTTTTTATTAGTAACCTCAGTAATGATTGCAGTGTTCCTGAAAGGGCACTCTCATTTCTTGTATAGCATGTTAAGCAGTCACCGGAACACCAAGGGATGCAGCTTTATATATTCTGTGAAGTCCTTGGTTTCTATGGTGATGGGAGACTGTACACCAGGCACAAATAACGAAAAGTACTTTTGACCTTAAAGTAGATATGGTAAACCTGATATCACAAATATTTTTCTTGAAAATAACTTCAAGATGGATTTTCAAATGCTTTATAAAATGCAAGCTCAGTGACACCCCGAGAAGGCGTATTTTTGTAGAGCATTAGTAATGTCTGCTGTAACGACTCCTTTCTAAGTGAGACTGCTTTGTAATAAAGTCCTGCTACTTTCATATGAGTTTTATGTGAATTATGTTTGTAAACAACGTGAAATTCCTTCTATGGCCTTTTATGGAGAGAGCTGCAGCAGTACACTTCACAGCCTGGATTGCTCTTAACACGTATGAACTCTCAGCTCCCTTCCTGTAAACCCTTTTCTCTTAGTATGCGTGCTATGCTATCGGGAAGGACGTACAAGCCATGAAAGCAGTAGTTGGAGAAGAAGCTCTTACCTCAGATGATCTTCTTTACCTGGAATTTCTGCAGAAGTTCGAGAGGAACTTCATTGCTCAGGGTAAGATGATTATTTTCTTACAAACATAAATAGCCTCATAAGTAGATTTGAAGACCTCTTTCCCAGCCCTAGAGAATTTACATTGGTCCCTATATGGTTTTCCCTCTGCCTGTCATGTCTTTGTACTTAGCCCGCTGGTTCCTCCCCCTCTGCCTTCAGGTCCGTTATCCGGTTACTTAGCTCCCCCTTACTTCTTCCCTTCCCTACAACCAGCCTCCCCGGGAGCCCCTCCTCTCACCCTCTCTGCAGCCATCTCCCCTGGCTTTCGGGCTTTGGGGCTTTTCTGATTTATCTGTTTTCATCTCCTTTTCTGATTGCTTATCTTCCTGCTTCTTAATTGTTTCTGTTTCCAAAGGCCTAGTTGCCTGTTCTTTCTGTGCTTTTCCACCTCCGGCTTTGCCTTTTGTCCTGCACTGTTGACCGAATTGCTATGTGTGATCTTTATAATCTTTCTGAAGCCCTAATCCCACATCTCCACCTGGGACACCTTTGTCTGTGCCACCATTCCTCTGCCTCAGCATGGTCAGAACCAGAGTGTTTCCCACCTGATCACCTACCTAGCAGTTCCCTTTTCAGTCTCTGTCCGCCTCTGGCACGGCCATTGTCCTGATTAGCCCAAGCGCGGAACTGGGCATTGTCCTTAACTTCCAGAGTGGTGCAGAAGCTACTGATGTCTGACCACTCTTTGAGTCGGACCATGCTTTGAGTCTTGAGGCCTAGTCCAAACCTTTAGTTTCATCATCCCTGGCCATTAGTGCCGGCTTTTTCACCAGTCTCCCTGACTTCTTAGATACTGTTTAGTAAATTCAGTACTAATTTTATTGATTGTCTCTCTACTGAAAAGTCCATAATGATTTTTATTTCATAGCGTGTTTAGGATTTTCAAGCTGTTTTGCTTGGTCTCTCCCCTGCCACCCCTGCTAATGCTGCTAATATTCTATTACTGACCTCAGTGGTATTAAGAATGGATGTGTTTATTTTAGAATAATGCATCAAGCTGTACACTTAGAATTTGTGCACTTTCCTATTTAAGTGATACATTTTTTCTTAACATTAAAATCCCCAAAATGTGTATGCTTCTTTTTTTGTTTTGTGGTTTTTTAACACAGACCTTAATACCTTAAAAGTTAAAAGTGAAGTTCTTCTGGTAAAGAACCCAGAACTTTAGCCACTCTGATTCCTTAGTTAAGAAATGAGATTTATTTGCCTGATAAGGATGCTTCTGCTATTGAAATAATAATAACAACAACAACTTTGGAAACCACTGACCTATTCGGATGCTTAATTGGCATTTAAGGCTTTCTGAGTATCTGTGCCAGCCTCTGTCGGCCTCTGTCGGCCTCTGCTCCTGGGAAGCTCTTTTTCTCACTCCTTTCTGGACAGAACACTGGGTTAGTTCCCACTGCTCGAGGTATTTAGGTCCTACCGAGTTTTCAAAAAAAGCGAACTCTCCCCCTCCCTCTCCCTGCACACTCACGAGACTGCCTGCTGTCCCTGTCCCCAGTGCCTCTTGTCTCTCTGCTTCCGGTGGTGCTTGTTGTCCGTGGTCTCATTTCTACATGCAGTCACATCCAGTCCTGGGAGATCTAAGCGCCGTCTCTTGTTTATACTCGGTGCTCCCAGCGCTGACTAATACTGATCAGTTGGAACTAGTTTGCCTTTATTCATCCAATCTCAATTTTTTGTAAGGTCCTTATGAAAATCGCACTGTCTACGAGACTTTGGACATTGGCTGGCAGCTGCTCCGAATCTTCCCCAAAGAAATGCTGAAGAGGATCCCCCAGAGCACCCTGAGCGAATTCTATCCTCGAGACTCCGCCAAGCACTAGCCGCCGCCGCCCTGCTGGCTGGTTGCGCTTGTGAAGTGCTCGTTCTCTTTTCTGTATTCCTTTGCGCTCCCCCGTCCGCACCTCTGTGCTGGAGTTTACCGTGTTACCCTGTAATTAAAAGCAAAGAAAGGTGACATATCGTGCCAGTGTTGCCATGTCTTAAACTGCTAACAGACTTTAAAATATCCCCTGTTCAGAGAACCTGTATCTTCAGCGCTTTGTTTAAAGTAGCTACAGGGATGGAGGTAAAGTTTTCTTACCGATGTGTGTATTTGTACATAGTGGGGTAGTTAGTTGCCTAATAATGTCCTCATTATTTGGGTCTCCCAGACCTTACCTCTCCACCCCCTCAAGAGTATCACTATCTAAATAAAGTTAAATGCTTTCATCTCCAAATTAGGGCGAGGATGGGGATGAAAGAAGCATCCTCTCAGAAGAGCCCAGAGGCGCTGCTGAGCAGTGTTTCGGATGTTTGGTGTGCCTCTGGGTCTGTGCTGCTGCCCTAAGCAGATGGTTTTCACTGTCCACCTGCTCTTTCCTATTTAATGAATACACTAGAAAGGGAGTTCCTTCTTCCTCTTCGGTACGCGTTAGTGGGGGGGTCCTGTCTGACTGTTCTCCCTCCCTCTGAGTAACACAGAATCATGCGGCTTTTGCACAGCTGGCATTGATCTGATAGAAGTGAGATGCCTTGTCTTGACCCTTACCGGGATCCTTACTGGGTTCCCATGCAGAGGAATCATAACTAAAATAACTAGAGTTGATTGGAAAGAGTTGGGGTACGATTAAAAAAAAAAAAGAAAAACCTAAACCCGTTTTTCATTCGGACATGATAACAGTGGTGTAAGTTTCTAAAGTGTTTGCCAGATGCTGAAGGCAAGGTGGAGGGAGGGAAGCCCTGCTGGGTGTGGATATTTTAAACTCTGTTAGAGAGCAGCCTTTAGAAAAACCCTGTATTTGGTCCTGCTTTCTGACCTGTCCCTGCTCCTTCAGGGTAATTTTGTGGCACAAGTAATAGCATTTAAAAGCTTTAGCCTTCTGATTCCTGCTCCTTCCTGCTGTGAGCCCTGAGCTGCCTTCTATGCACTCTGCCATGTCTACTGTGTGGTCTCTCTGTGTTCTTCGTTACTTGGGTGCAATAGCAACTTCTCTGTGCATTCCATCTTTCAAGTTGTGTAAAGTTTTTTCTTGGAGGGGGTGAGGGGGTTGGGGGAGTCAGCATGATTATATTTTAATGTAGAAAATGTGACATCTGGATATAAAATGAAAATAAATATTAAGTTAAATGGAAGTGACCTAAAGTGACTCTGTATCTTCTAATCATAAAAAACAATAGCAACAAGCACATATATAATATATAATAATGCACCTCTTTGATTCGCAGGTTTCAACATCATAACCAGTATTGTGAACCGACCCCTGGGTTGTAGGAACACGGCCCAAGTATTGTACCCTCCATCTTTCAAACTCTTTTCAGTAATCTCTCTTCCAGCATACTGTAGTTTGACCCAAGGTTGGAGTTACTGCAGGTGTTCTATAGCATTTTTTGTTTCAAACATTTCCAGGTGGGTGATAAATAGAAAATGAACTACATATTTAAGCAAGCCAAAACTTGCTTCAAATAAAAGTTTATATAGATGTCCAGTATATTGAGAAAACATGCTGGTTACAGCAACAGGGCGTAGCTTCACAGAGCCTGCGTTTTCTCCGTCTTCAAGGCTGTTTGTAGGAGATGTAGACCAGCACTCCCCAACCTTTCTGGCACCAGGGACTGGTGCTCTTACGAGAGTCTAATGCCTGATGATCTGAGGTGGAGCTGAGGCGGCGATGCTAGCGCTGGGGAAAATCTGCAAATGCAGATGAAGCTTCGCTTGCTTGCCTGCCACTCCCCTCCTGCTGTGCAGCCCGCTTCCTTGCAGGCCACGGACTGGTACCAGTCCACAGCCCGGGGTTTGGGGACCCCTGCTGTAGAGGAAAGAACCCAGTCATGGCGAGAAATGGGCAGGCCTGTGTTCTAATGCTGGTGCGGCCACTATGTGGCCTTGCTGAGTCTTAACAAGTTTGAGTCTGTTTGCTTATGTGCCCTTTAGAGTTATCACAGGGACTCGAGATTCTGTATGTAAAACACCAGCAGAGTGCTTGGTCCATGGCAGATACAGTAGGCTACTTTTATTAACAATCTTTAATTATGGCAGATTGACGATTTATTCTTACATAATACTTAAGATTATTAGTTGATTAAGTAGTACTCTTCTTAGTTTCTTACTTTTCAGTGAAAACATTTTCTTAGTGTACTTTTTGTACCAGTGATAAGACCTGATTAAAAGACTCATTAAAATGATGCTTTCATATAGACCCTCGCTATGATCAAATTAAAAATTTTTCATTTCAGTTGGCTTAAAGTATTTGGGAGGAGAAGTATCTTCAAAGTTCAGAGAATTAAATGACTCATGAAACATTTATTGCTAGCAGTTGACTGTCACTTCAGTTAGTGAGAATCCCTGTAAGTGAAAAAAAGTTTTCAGACCAATGTAATAAATATTTCATTTGGATGTTTTCTTTTCAGCAAGTGTGGGTGGCGCAAGGTGTCTGAGGTCAACAAAGCATTGTCTGCTTTTGACATTTTTCATTATGCTAGTAAAGGGAAGTTAGCTTACTCCAGTATTAGGGGATAACAGAAAATAGTTCCCCAGGCTAAACTAAAAATATCATTTAGAGATTACAACAAAAACTTAGCAGCCAATTTTTGAAGGAGGATGATCCTTTGTGGGAAAACAAGTATAAAGAAATGGGTTTTGAAAATGAAAGTCATATGGTACTATATATAGAGCTCCCTTAAGATTCTACAAAAAACTATTAGAACTTTAAATGAAATCAGTAAAGTAGAAGGATATGAAATTAATACTTAGAAATTGGTTGCATTTTTAGACACCAATAACGAACTATTGGATATCAAGAAGACAATCCCAATTACAACTGCATTAAAAAAAAAAAATACCCCGTAATAAATTTAACCAACTAGGTAAAAGACCTATATATACTTCAAAATGATAAGACATTGAAGAAAAACTGAAGAAGATAAATGGAAGCATATTCTATGCTCAAGGTTAGGAAGAATTAACATCGTTAAAATGTCCATACTACCCAAAGCAATCTGTAGCAATCCCTTTAAAAATAACGACATTTTTCACAACAAAAATAATCATAAAATTTAGAACCACAAAAGATCCTGAATAGCCAAAGCAATCTTGAAAAAGAATGAAGTTAGAGGTATGCTACCTGATATCAAACTATACTAGAAAACTGTAATAATCAAAATGGCATAGTACCAGCATAAAAACACACATGGATCAACGAAACAGAATAGAGAGCCCAGAAATAAATCCACACCTATATATGGTCATTTAATTTTATGACGAAGGACTCAAGAATAAATAATGGGGCAAAAGATGGTCTCTTCAACAAATGGGATTGGGAAAACTGGACAGATACATATGAAAAAATGAAACGACCGCCTTGTACCGTATACAATAAACTCAAAATGAGTTAAAGACATAAATGTAAGACCTGAAACCATAGAACACCTAAAAGAAAAAAATAGTAAACTCTCTGACACTATTCTTAGTAATATCTATATATATATTTTAATATGTCTCCTTGGGCAAGGGAAACAAAAAAATAAATGGTGCTACATCAAACTAAAACGTATTCGCACAATAAAGGAAACCAAAACAGACAACCTACCTATTAGGAGAAGATATTTGCCAATGATACATCCAATAAGGGGTTAATATCCAAAATTTATAAAGAACTCATACGACTTAATACCAAAAAACCCAAACAATTTAATTAAAAAATGGGCAGAGGACCTGAATAATTCTCCAAAGAGGACATGCAGATGCTCCATGTCACTAATTAGAGAAATGTAAATTAAAATCACAATGAGATATCACCTCACACCTGTCAGAATGGCTATCATCAATTAACAAACAAATGCTGGTGAGGATTTGTTGGTGGAGAAAAGGGGACTCATGCATTGTTGGTGGGATTGCAAATTGGTGCAGCCACTATGGAAAACAATATGGAGGTTCCTCAAAAAATTTAAAAATTGGCAGTAAACTCTCTGACACTATTCTTAGTAATATATATATATATTTTAATATGTCTCCTTGGGCAAGGGAAACAAGAAAAAAATAAATGGTGCTACATCAAACTAAAAAGTATTCACACAATAAATGACCCAGCAATTCCACTTCTGGGTATTTATCCAAAGACATCTAAAACACTAATTTGAAAAGATATATGCATCCATATGTTCATTGCAACATTATGTATAACAGCCAAGATGGTGAAGCAACCTCTGTGCCCATCAGTAGACAATTGGATAAAGAAGCGGTATATATACAATAGAATATTAGCCATAAAAAAAGGAATAAAATCTTACCATTTACGACAATATGGATGGACCTAGAGGGTATTATGCTAAATGAAATAAGACAGAGAAAGACAAATACCATACAACTTCACTCCTATGTAGAATCTAAAGACCAAACAAAACAGAAACAGACTCATAGATACAGAGGACAAACTGATGGTTGCCATGGGAATAGGTTGGAGGGCTGGGTGAAAAAGGTGAAGGGATTAAGAAGCACAAATTGGTAGCTACAACATAATCATGGGGATATAAAGTACAGCATAGGGAATATAGTCCATAATACTGCAATAACTATGTATGGTGCTAGGTTGTATTAGACTTATTGAGGGATCACTTCATAAATTATATGTCTAACCGCTATGCCATATACCTGAAACTAATATAAAATAATATTGAATGTCAACTGTAATTGAAAAATTAAAAAAGGAATTCAGTATTTCTTATGTTAAAAAAACAATAAAAGTATAAATTAATATAGCATCTTCTAAGGCAATTGCAGTATTGTTTGTAATATAGAAAATTAGAAACAATCTAAATATCTATTCATAGGGATTAATTAGATAAATTATAGTAAATGAATACAAAAGAATATTACAGAGTCTTTATAACGAATGGCATATATGCCGACATGGAGAGATATCCCGAATACACTGATGTATTATGAAGTTAAAAATTTTAAAAATGATGCAAAATACTTTGTACTCTATACACATACTCTGTTTGGTGTGGGGACTGTTTAGTTCCTGGAAATGGGAACGCTGAGTCAGGTGATTACAGTCCTGCCCCTTGAGAGCTGCATTTCTTACATCCTGCACTGGCAATGGCTTTTCCCTGCTCCTCAAACTCATTGGAATAACTGCAGGGTCCCGGCAACAGTTTGTGTAATTATATTATAGGTCCATTCTTCCATTGTTTATAAATAACCAATCACTAATTGCCTGTTAACTTTATCCCGTTTCCTCGACTCTTCGTTTAAGTACAGGTTTATCACACACGTGCGTGTGCACGCTCACACACACACAAATGAAAGTCATGTCCCTTACTCAGCTGCTAACTGTGGTTTCATTTCAAACTGTTTCCAGGTGGGAGCTGAACACCTGCCTAACACTCGAGCAAACCATGTGGTGTCCTCGGCTGCCTCCTCATAGGAAGCCCTGCGGCGGCAACAGTGAGCAGGTGACTAATGTTGAGAAACAATGAGGAATCTCTTCCAGTGACTAATCAGTCACGAAGCTTTGTATCCTCAGCAAGATTGGCAAAACCTGTTTGGAAAACTTGATGTGCTTGGGGACCTGGGCACCCCAGGAATTGCTGACCCCTCCCTGATCTGTCCACTGCAGTTTCTTTTTAAGGGAAA